TTCCAGCTTAAATGATCCTGTGAGGGTATGATCCCACCTGGAGGAGAGCAGGGAAGTGCGAGCAGGGAAATCTCACCTTGAAGCCTCCAGAGATGCCTGCTGCGAGGGCCAGAGCAGGACATTTGTCTCCTGTGGTGCTCGGGATGATCACAGAGGCAGGGGAGAGGCAGGAATGTCCTGCTGCCTGACGTACCAGGAGGGCATGGGGCGTCATTTTTGTTCCACTGAAGCTGGAGAGCGGAGAGGAGGGAAGGTCAGCCAAAAGTGACTCCAGTTGTGGAGAATGGCAGCAGCTGGAACTGCAGCTTTGTTCCCAAATGGCTTTTGGTGTCACTCATGGGTGATGCTGCTGCCCTCTCACAGCTTCTCCTCCTGACAGCCCAAACACTCGTGGCTGATGCATTTCCGTGGGGTTTAAGGGAATGCTCRGCTTTGGGTTCCTGCGTGGTTTTCCCTCCTTTCTCCTCTGTTCTGACCTGGCCAGCCCGCACCATTATCATAATCCCGAGCTGGCTGCACTGCCAAGCTTCCCAGCCGCTCAAACACAACGCTGGAAATCACCGGATTAGGCTCTAATGGCAGGATCAAGTCAGCAGGAGATGAGTGGGGAGAAAGCTCCTGCTTATGCAGGTGGACGGGCAGCATTCCTCGAGAAAACAGGCTGGAAAGCCTAAAATGTCTGAAAAACATCCTCTTTGCTGGCCGATGCTGGATTTTCTCTGCTTTCAACACATCTTCCATTTTCCAAGGGTCAGGAAACACTRGCGTGGGTTTTGTGAAGGCAATATTGAGAGGTCAGAGGTGTTTAAACATTTCTTCCCTCACAGRGGAAGGCGTTGTCTTGAGTGGTGGACATCCTGTCCTGGACGTTCATTCCCAGCAGTAAATTCTGCCCCTCCCACCAGAAATCCTGTCTCAGTGTGCTGGAGGATGCTGAGGGTTTGTGGCTGTGTCTAACACCTGTGCTGGTGGGGTTCCAGAGAGCCTGSGAAGCGTGTTGGATGTTTTCCAGGGTGGCATTAATTCTGAGCAGCAGAGATGCTCCAGGGCAGGGTCTCAGGGTGCTCCTTTGGGARGGTGGCACAGCAGGGATTGCTCAGAGCAGCGCCCTGCCCACCCTGCTCTTTACCTGCATGGGTCATCGAGGGCTCTTGGTCAGCAGGGCTCTGAGGGCTTGGAGTACATCAGCCTGCACTGACCCAGAGAAGCTGTGGCTGCCCCTGGATCCCTGGAAGTGACCAAGGCCAGGCTGGACAGGGCTTGGAGGTGTCCCTGCTGTTTGGAGGATGGAATGAGATGAGCATTAAGGTCCCTTCCAAAAAACCAAACCATTTTGTGATTCTGTGATACACCTGCACCWAAGTGTGATTTTCTGGAGGCTGTGTGATGGGTGAGGAGGGTGATGGAGACTTTCTATTTCGCTTTTACTTGGTCATGCCTGTGAACTTCCCACCCAAACCTTTCAGGGAGGGAGTGAGTTACACCCCTGGGGTATCTTTGCACAGAATTGTCCTGTCTGTTTTTGGATAGCTTGAACAAAACATTGCAATACTCCCCCAAAAATACCTTTAGGAAACAAAGGCTTGCTCACATGAAGCTCATGCACCCAGTGAGCCCCAAGAATGCATRGCAGGAGGAAGAGGAGGAGGACAAGGGCTGGCTCCACCAAGCACGGTGCAAGCAATGTCCCCCAGCCCCTGCAGGGATTTGGGCTCTGCTCAAGCTCGGCTGAAGCCCTGCTGACAGGATATCCCTGACAGGATATCAGAGGCATGATTCTGTGGGTCCCATCTGGATCTGCTTTCCAGCTCCGCTATGGAAACCCCGCTGGAGAACAACGTCCGGCCCAGAGCTCCATTTCCCTGCTCCTGTTCTGCTTCATCTCCTGTATGGGAGGTGATTGTGTTATTAAATTAATTTAATACACGGTGTTCAGATTTCCCCAGATTGGAAGGGAATTGTCCAAATTTTAGGGAAGTGTCAGTATTTGTGAGGTACCAGCAAGCATGAACACAAGAGTGCCAGCTGAGGCAATCACTCCAACCTATAAAAAATGGGAAAAGAGAAAAATGGGAGTGCCTACGTTCACAYGTGGGGAAGAGGAGTCTTCCTGATGTTTTGGTTTTCCATTTTCCTTCCTATTCCTTGATCAGATGTGGCTAAGCTGCTTTTTCAGACATAGGGGATTCCTGATAGATTAAGGAAATTTCCCAGATTTTAATATAGTTGAACTAAGGGAGAACCAGATTGCTCTGAGAACTGGTGATGCYTCCTCTAAGTACTCTTGCAAAGGCAGCTGGAATTAATAGGCCTAATTATTGTGGAATAGGATCATCCTTTGCAAGGGCATTGTCCAGCTTTTTTGCACCGCTTGCTGTGGTGCAAAAACTTGTGACTACTCCCCACTCATGGAAGGAGGGTGCTCCAGTGGCCAAGTGCCACTTCCCTTTTGGGGCCAAGCTTGACACTTCTGCCTTCTAATTCCCTGCCTTTGACCTCTGTGGGGCTGCACCTGCTTCCCACTGGGCTGGAGCTGAGCTCTGGATCTGCTCTGTCCGTTGGGCTGGAGGTAATGGTGTCCTCGGGGCTTTTGAGTGGTGGACAAAGGAGCCATTTCCAAGCTGCGGTGAACAAGGCAGAGCACAATGGTGAAGAGGAAGGGTMTGAGATGGGTCTCGCTCTCTCCAGGCACAGAATGCTCTGAAATGCTCAAAATGGTGTTTTGGGGGATGGTTTTTTCTCCCAGCCCTTTGTCCACAGAGAATGAGGGCTGTGGGRGGCAGCCTGTGCCCAGAGTAAGTGCTTTGGCTCTATTGTTGCCATCCCTTCATTGAGCCCATGAACCCCCATAAAACACTTACCTTTCSCCAGTATGATTAAGAAAAGGCCAATGTAGCTGTGCCGCTCAGTGGAGCGTGAAGCGTGTTTAATTTAATAATGCTGATAAATCTTAAAGCCAGCAGCATTTGGCTAACACATGACCCACTTTTTCAATCAATTGGAAGCATTTACATAACGGCCTGATGCAGGGCTCCTTCTGCGAGGGATGTGGAGCTGAGCATGGCACACACCCTCTCTGCCATGGGACGAAGGGCAATGGCTTTAGACTGAAAGAAGAGAGCGTAAGATGAGATTTTAGRAAGGAATTGTTCCCATGGTGCCCAGAGAARCTGTGGCTGCCCCTGGATCCCTGGCAGTGTCCAAGGCCAGGCTGGACATTGGGTCTTGGAGCACCCTGGGATAGTGGAAGGTGCCTGTGGCAGGGGGCTGGAATGGRATATCTTTAGTTCCCTTCCAAAGTTCCCTTCCAATGCCATCTCTGGTGCAGCAGTTTGTCCCCTGGCACCTCGTGAGCACTGGAAATGCTGACCTGCATCGATCAGCTTATTGAACCTTGTTGGCATTGCCTCCCATGCCCAGGAAGCCTGGGGTTAACCATCACAGCCAGTTACTCATTGCCTTTATTGTTCATCTCAGCCTGGAAAATTCCTGCCTGTTCCCTTGCAGTCTCTCAGCCCATTCCCCTTCAGTCTCCAATGTTGTCACCTCCTTCCTCAGGGATATTCTCCTCCTCCTCACTGTTAAAAGCATCTTTTGGCTTGACACAGATAAAACCAGAGACTAAGCATGGTTTGGGTTGGTAGGGACTTTAAAGCTCATCCAGTCCCGCCCCTGCCATGGACAGGGACATCTTCCTCTAGGTCACTCCAAGGTCCGTCCAACCTGGCCTTGGACACTGCCAGGGATGGGGAATCCACAACCTCTCTGGGCAGCCTGTGCCACTGTACCTGTTTCAGCGTTCAACACATTTTGTTTCTTATCCTTCTTGTGAGGATTCCATCCTTTTTTTTTCCATTTGTACCATCCAGCAGCCTCCAGCACCGCATTTGCACATAGGTCATGAGCAGCCTCATTCCCAGTGAGGCAGTGTCCTTTAGCTTTAGGGAATTCTATCTCCCTGCAAACCACGTGGGTTTATCCATTTTGRGTTTCATAATAACCTCTGGGAAGAGCTTTTACATCAAGCCCATCTCCTAGCCACGATCTGTGCATTGCTGCTATTTATTCATCCCGACTTGCATTAAAGCAATACTTGAGAACTTGTTTATCTCCCCTTTTTTTTGCTCACGTAAGTCCCTGTCTGAGCAAAGGCAAATGCCAGATGCTTGCGAGCAGGATGAAAAATCTCCCATCTGATGCAGAGTGAGGGATTAAATATCATGGGGGAGAATGGCTGCACATCTCTCAGCGTGCACGTAGAAGGATGCTGGCACCTCCCTCGGGGACGGGACTGCTCTCCCCGTGCAGTGGGCTGCAGGGACATTTCATGTGCCACGTCCTCMTTCAGAGACACTCCTAAAGAGGCATCAGCAAGGAAAAAATAAGGATTTGTTGCCTTTCTGTGATTTCCCCCCCGCCCC